CTTATGATCCCTGAAAGAAAAAATTTGGTAAGAATGTTTTTTTGAGACTATGGTTATGAGAATGGCATCAGACATACTTTATTTTTTCTTCTTCCGTCAGATCGTGTTGATTCCGATGAAGTGTGGTCGGATTGGTCAGAGTGGTCAGCCTGCTCTGCAGAATGTGGAGGTGGTTTCCAAACCCGAAGTCGTACCTGTGAGGGTAATTCAGAAGATTGTGAGGGCTCCCCTAAAATGTCACGACCCTGTAATATGCATCGTTGTAAAGGTAACTTTCTCGCCATTTACAATTCAATAATTTGAACTATTAAGGTGGATTTTAAGATCTTGAATTATTCTTACGTTTATTCTTTCTTTTGTGACTGTAGGAGAGTGGTCATGTTGGAGTGAGTGGTCAGCCTGCTCAGTGTCGTGTGGCAGTGGAATGCGGCAAAGGACTCGGCATTGTCTGAGCATGTCCAACAAGGAGACTCTCGGAGTTAATTGTGATGGACCAGCACTAAGTCAGGAGCCATGTGAATCACCAAGTTGTGAATGTAAGTTTTGTGCTAGATGTGGCAAATGTCGCATGTATGTTTAGGATTTTTCCCTTCAATTCTGCTTGCTCTATAATGTTGATGATTTTTTGTGTTTGTTTTTAATTTAGCCTTGGTTGGTTGGAGTTCCTGGACTGTGTGGTCTGAATGTGATGAAAATGGTGACCAGCACAGACGACGTTCTTGTGAGACTCCCGGCCCTAGCTCCTGTCAGGGACATGATTTTGAGACCAGAATGTGTGTAGGTGGAATTCATAATGGTAAGTCTCTAATATTTCTCCAACCTTGCTTTTCTGATTATTACTTTTCATTCTGATGCTAGTTCTAACTCAATTTGATTTTTCAGGCATTGATATACTTCCAGCTCAAGCTTTGGACTCAAGTAGTGTAGGAAACATATCAGTTTTGGCTGTCCTCGGCTGCTGCTTCGCCGGATTTGTTCTGGGATTGGCATGTGCTGCAGCCGTTTGGTATTACCATAAACGCAAGCGTATACCACCCATACCCAGTAGCCCCTGCTATATGTCAACGAAGCAGAATCCATATGTCACAGTGCCTCTTAAAGAATCAATAAGTCAAAAACCCAAACGAACTGCATCCTTTTCATCAGCAACAAGTAATGGTTCACACAAGCCCATAGTCAATTGTAACTCCTTGAATCATCCAACACCAAAGCTATTTTCTAAGCCAGCTGATTATGACACAGCAACAATCAAACGCAACAGTCATTCCCTCAACGGAAATGTCCGACCTGATCTTGAACAAGAAAAGTTCTATTGATTAATACACATTGATACATTAAAGTTTGACTTTGTGTAAATGTGGAAAAGCAGATATACAATTGCAAATTGCAGTGATGGTGTTTCTGTTATGGAAGAAGTGAATTGATCTTAAAGGGATGGGCTTTCAAAAGGCTATCCAATAGCTGTACTAATTATTTGATGTTGTCTGTGTGATTTTTTTTCCAATTATTGTGATACTTGTGGCACATTGGCCATTTATTTCAGTTTATGTGCCTTAGGGGATATCAATAGAATGTTGTTTTTTTTTATAAAAATTAAAAAAAGCAACAACAATTAACGTCATTCACATGTGTGAGTTCGTTTTGTTTTGTTTTTGTTTATACAAATATATTACCCTTGCTCAAACTTGCGTTTGATGTGATGCTACTCTGTGGGAATCGGCAACACTTTCAACTTTCTAGTCATCCTTGTAAATATTCATAATTGTTAGATGATGACTTTATTTAACTTGGCATCTATGCAGAGTTACTTACATTTTGTTTTATATAAATGAATTTGTATCCAACCAACTTGTAAAGCTTGTTTGAATGCTGAATTTTTTGATGATTTTAATGATTTGTATGTATTAGACTATTAGAAGATCAAGAGTCAAATTTAATTTTAATTAACAATTGACTGTGACACATATGTGCCAAGGTCCAGTATACGCCATAGTAAGATGTCTAAAATGTAGGTGAAATGTGTATAAATTGTTAACTGACAAGATATTTTACATTTGTTATGTTTTTGTAAATAGTCACTTGACTCTAGGAATTGCGCAATTTTCACACTTTTCCTTTGTTCACATTTCAAATTGTTTGTTAAATCAGTTTTTCATGCTTTTATAAATTGTAGCAAGCCTCAGTCCTGTTGATAATTATCTTAGGTTTACTTAATGTTTCAGGAAGTAACAGTCATTTTAATTTGATTTTCAGTTGCTGAGTAAGTACAAAACATTAGACTTTATGTTACTTCCATAATAATGTGATATTGATATTATTATTAATTTTATTTGTTGCTGACTTAGGGTTTTTAGAGGCACTTTAGCTCTCTAAGTTGATTGAACTCTCCAGTTAAATATACTGGTAACTCTCAGTTCTTTAATTCCACTTTGTTCTTTCCATTGCCAGTTTATGTAACCAAGACAGAAAATAAATAAGTTTTGTTTTATAATTTTAAAAAAAGATGTAGTACAGTAGCTTTAAAGAATTCCTATTCTTTGATGGATGTGTTTTTGTCACCAATTTTTAACTGACCCATCCGAGATTTGCTGAGCTACTTGCCCACAATTGTTTAGTTCATAACTTTGTTATTTTGTACTTAATGTAATTAATTTGTATTTATTGGTAGACATTATTGTTCCTTTCCATGCTCATATTGAGTGTGTGTAATAATGTAAATGTATAGTTGTCCCTCTGTAGTGTATATTTTATTTTTCAATTCTAATAAACCTTGTAGAAAATTTAGCCCTCTGTCTCAATTAATGAATCTCCCTCCTAACCTGGAAGGACCCAAACACGTCAGTTGTGGGTGTTCTTCTAGACCCACAACTTTGGGCAGAAATGGTAACTGTGTCAAGTGTTTTCGATCTGGCGGGTATGACCCAGAATTTTAGCCCGACTCCATCTAAAACAGCTGTGGGCTGATATTGTGGGCGGACATAATGACACGCTAAAAATCAGACCTGAAAGTTTGCGGAGGACAACTGCCCATGGCAGTGACAGCAGAGGAGTAGATTTGATTCAATACACAGATCATTATCAAAACACATCTAGCCAGAATATTTATTTTGATTAGAGAGAGATGGTAAAGTAAGCAGTTACTTTTTAAAGCAAATAAATACACAGAAAACTTTTAATTGAACATGATAATCTTACACTCAAATAACATTTTCACAAGCATTCCTACTTAAACAGGTCCCTCATAACCACAGGGTACTGCACAGAGAAGTCCAGACACCTTATAAATATATTACCTATCAAACTCAATCACAGCTTCTAGTACCCCAAAATGTAACCAGATAAAAGCTGATTTTAGTGCCTGATGTGCAGCTGAGTTTAAAGATTCAGCTTCATCACAATCATAACAATCCATCAAGAGGATATCGGTATAATACATAAACAATAGATGTGACTAAAAACTGCATTCAACTTATAATGAAGGGGTATTAGAGAATAGAATACAAACATCCTAGGACGAGAAAACATCAACAAAGATGTTCAGTCACGATTTACGTTGCTATATAAAACAATTCAGACCTGTCCACAGATGACAAGGCCATCCTGTAATAAGCCATGCCAGGTCAGAGAAACGTAATACTTCTATTGAGAGATACATAGTTTGAATCATGTCAGATAGCAAGAACAGTTTTCGTATGCACAAGGCATTCCCCCCATGAAAGTTGGAAGCAGTGCTTAGTTCAAAAACCTAGTTGACAGCAGCTCTATGGGTAATATTTTGACTTAGATCAAACGCTTATAGAGTCTACCTCACTCAATACAACAAGTTCTCAACACTTAGCAAACTGTGCAAATAAATTTAACAGTAACATGAAACAATATTCTATGTACACATTTTAAATGAGCTATTTCATGAAGTTGGACTTCGAATTGAATTGCAGCTCAAATATATAAATTTTGAATGCATTGAAAATGATCATCGCTATATGGTAAAAATGAACCAACAAATCACTGGCGGTTAACAAAGAGAGCAAAATCCATTCTCACAAATATTTGAACTTTTAAAAAATCTCAAACATTACTTGTGTAAAGAGGACTTTGAGCTCATTTGACCCAGAACTAATGAAATTGATTTATTGTGACCAGTGGGGAGTGCGATCAATAATGCTGATGCCAATTGTATCAATAACTCTTGTTAGTGATAAAGGCGCTCAAAGCTATTTCTTACAAGTACATAGGTAAGTCTTCTAGAGACAAATTGAAGGATGACATGTATAGGATGATGGGGATTCAATAAGGTATAGTAACTAAACTTACTTGGCGTTTTTTCATGCCCTAATTACAACTAAGTATGTATTAATTAGCCAGTGTTCACAATCAACCTATCCTCTGTCTGCACATGCAATTTTTACATAAACATCTTTCTTTAGATACACAAATCAATCATCTAAATTTATCTAGAAATGAACCAAATCAGAAAAAAAGAAAGTGAATATGAGACATCACAGCTCAAAATGTCAGATACATACATAAATGAGATAAGTGCAAACACAAAGTTTCAATTCAAAATGACAGCAAGGAAGGCACATGAAAAACCTGTACCAAAAAAACAAAACTAAGGACTGCTCTTTAAAATAAACCATGACTGATATGGAGGCATGGTACAGGTAGTAGAGTAATCAAATTAATTGGTAAATTGACACAGCAATTATGTTTTTTTCAGTGGATTTTGTTTTGTGAGACTAAAGCCTAAGTCAAATATGTACTTCAGTATTCCTCTCTCCGAAACTACCAGATAGAGGTTGGTACATGACTTTAGCCTAAGCTCCACAAAACTAAAGCAAACTTCTTGGTCAATCCGTAATCAGAGATGTTAAATCGCAAAAACATCAATCAACAAGACTACTGTAAATAAGTACAAAAAAAAATTACTTAGTCAAGAAAGTATGCAATGTGCATACTTTATTACAGGAGTATCATTTCAAATCAATAGATAGTTCATTAGCAATCCTAGCTCCAGAATGAGAAGCAGTAATACAAGAAAGGTTGTATATGATGCTCCAGAATGCTTCAAAAGTGTATGATCTCATGGGAAAGTGGCTAGCTAACGTACCCTTTCAAGAGTCAAAAAACTGATTGAATATAGGTAATAATAGATAATACATAATTAAAAGTTCTCTTTATATATTTATATACCAATTTACAGACATCTAACAAGTAATCAAAAGATAAAATTTACCTAAAACAAAATTTAAAATACAGTTTTAAACACCTTTGCCACTTAATTTGGTGACCGACAAAACTATCATAACATTTCCAAAACAGGAATAAATACCTTTATAACACAGGAACTGAACATTCAAGACATTTACTACAAAATCTGGCATGAATAACTCAAGTCAAATAGCATAATGGCAATTTCATTGCGGAGAAACAAGACAGTTCAAAAGGGACACTAAGTTTAGAATGAAGTAAAAAAGGGATTTGTAAAGACCATTAAGAAATAAAATGTGTACAAAACTACTGGTATATGGTCAAACTATAACCAGAAAGTAGAGAATGGGGTTAAATAAAATCAAAAATCAAAGTAGGTACAAATAATTGCCAGATTAAAGAAAGAAAATATCATGGACTCTCAGTCTGAAATCCAGTCAAAAGATACCAAGTTTCTTATTTGTGTCCATAAGGTTGCTGAAGTAAAATTTAGAGAGATTTGACTGACATGCTCTTCCATACTACAAGAAAACAAACACCATAGGGAGCAACAAAACTGCAGGGATCTGACCACTGAGCTCAAGATTAATGTTTACATGGGTGGAGTATCAACATAGGTAATGAAAAACAAGCAAGTAAAGTTAATAATGCCATGGACAGATAAAAGGAACTTGTGCATCTCTGACTGAAGAAATGTATGAGTTTTAACACAATAGTTGCAGCAAAACGGTGTAAATGAAGAGATCTACATGACTTCCAGGGGGAAACCAACGCTCAGGTAACAGCATGCTCCTCACCACTTACACTAATCCTTGGATGCTTAAAGACTGGGGTTTTCAAACTTATTTCCTCTTGTCATATAAATATCGTCATACGAAGAGTTCTGCTCTAGCTCCATAACTTGGTGCTTCTTTAAGACCAACATGGCATAGAATTTCTGAGCAGCCTGTAACACGAAAAAAATGGTGAGCCACAAATAATACGTAACAACCAAATCTTACAGGAAAAACATGAAGAGACTTTACCTGTTTTCGATTATTTCTGTAGGTCAATTCTGACAAATATACACCCACTCCTTCTTCTTTCAGGGCCATCTTGGATTTGATCACAGAGAACAAATGAGCAGCTCGTTTGTTGGTGACTCTTTCCTCAAACTGCTCGTATGTTTCATCACCCTGTTGCTCATCCGGCTGGTAAAGTAAAAACAAATTTCATTTGTTAAAACATTTGTTAAAAAAAAGGACAAGTAAAGTAGAATATAGAATATAGCACAAGTTTCTTTCTTTTTTTTTTCAATCTGACACTTGCTTCATGTAGCTTTGTGAAAATAGATAAAATTGTCTTACCGCGCCAGCTGAGTGAGGGAATTCATAGTCATCATTGTTCCAAGGTGTGTTAGGGCCACGCTCAGATACAGCTCCAGGTGTCATGGCAGGCAAATGATGGTCAGAATGGCTGTCATAGCCCATGTTAGCCATAAGCTGGTTGTCCTGCAGGCAAATGAATAGGGGTTAGGAACACACAATTATGTAAAAAACCATAAATCTTCACAGATATGCGAGTTCTGGCAAGTTACTAACCTGGTGGTCATAGCCAACATTCTCCATCATGGCTTGTTGTTCTGCTGTCAATTCTGGTTGGTGTGGGGGTACGGGTGTTACGGGTGCCTGAATTCCAAGTGATTGTTCATGTTGACTCAGCAGCATATTCATCTGAAATTACAAACATAATTTTAAAATAAATAAAATGAAATGTACATAAAAATGAAAGTCTGCAATATATGAAGAGACAAACCTGATCAATAGGTAGTTCGGGTATTTCATGGTCCAAGTTGGGAGCAGGTGTGTTAGGATCCATGAATGGAGGAGGTACTGAACTATTGGGATCAAGGTATGGCGTACTGACAGAATTGTGGTCTATGTATGATGGTGCCATTGAAAGTGGGCCACCTGGTGTCTGCGGATCTATATAAGAAGGAGCCACCGAGAGTGGACCGCCTGGTGTTGGGGCATCAATGTACGAGGGTGCCATTGACAGGGGTCCACCAGGAGTCTGGTCCAGTTGTGCCAATGGAGTGGGAGGTTCCATGATAGAGCCACCAAGCATTGATGATTGGGGGGCATGGATAAGGTTCCGTAGTTCATCTTCATCTTCCTCAACAGCTCTTCTCTGCGCTGGGGGCAACTAAAAGTAAGAGAGAAAGTATTTAATAAAAATCAAAACTAAAATAATGCAAAGGCATAAAACTATAGTACTAGAGGGACATACTTCTTCTTGATCCTGCATTTTTCGTTTACGTGTTGCTCTTGTTGTACGGCCAGCTTCAGGCTGAGGGGCAGGTGGAGGAGGGAGTTCATCCATGCCATCAAGAGGCATTGGATCCCTCTCCAAGTCGATGTTTTGTTCTTCAGTTGTTGTTCGGCTTGTAAGATGTCTCTGGTAATTCTGTAAAAAACAAATATTTCAAATTAATAGTGAACTACAATGTAACTAACTTCAGACTAGGACCTGTATTGTGAGAAAGAGAATGAAATTTAAAGAGATTAACAAGGTCCTAATTACCTTGGAAAGAATCCTGGCAGGCAACAGTCGTCCAGGAAGGGCAAAGAGTTTTTCAACACCACCTGTTTCCTTCCAATGCATGAGGCGTTTGGTTGGTGGAGCAAGATCTAGAGTTGTGACAATGTCTGTTGTATCAGACAACTGGGACTTCATTTCCTCCCCAGAAATGTTTTTGGTCTCATCAACAATTAGTTTCCTCTTGCGTTTAGCTTTGGTGAAGCCTGTTGAAAAACTATAGTTTAGCTCCAAAGAACATGAAGAACAAATCAACAACTTAGAGAAAGTGAAAGATTTAAGAATAACTTGCCTTTCAAAGCTGATGCATCTACTGGAGCTAGAGCGAAGCTTTCCTCTTCATTTTGGAGAAGAGTTGTCTGATCTGGCAAACTACTCTCAGCCATGTGGTCTTCAGGTAAGTGGAGACTGATGGAGTTGTCAACCAGGGGTTGGTGCAAAGAAGATTCTAAATTTAAGAAAGCTCCATCTGGTGTAGTTAATGCCTCAGGCATCAGAAGTTGATTGTCAGGATCTAAATTACCAAGACTTGTGCCAGGCCTTGAATCTCCATTAGAACTGAATTGTTAGAGGAAGAATAGAAAATATGAATGAACAAAGAGAACACAAGTAGAATGAAGATATGGGTATTCCACACAACTAAACAAACCTGTCTCGTCCAACAGATGGAGGAGCATCATAGTGATCTCCCATGTCATCATCACTATCAAGATCTCTACCAACAGCTAAATCCTTGTCATGTGCTAGATTGACATTTTGGAGAAGAGATGAAGTGTCCACAGAATTCACGTCTCCCATTGGAGCATCATCAAAAAGACCCCCTTCAAATAATCCCCCGGAAATAATGTCTTGGCCAAGATTGCCACCAAAACCATCATCTCGAATGGGAGCATCCATTTCCAAGGCAGAACGAATAGAGTGATTTCCAACAGCTGCCCGCAGATCTTTATCCTCTACTAAATCCACAGATGGTCCATCAGAGAACAAGAGGTTATGCTGAAAGACAAGACAAATACAAAGGGTAAAACGCTACATTCAGGTTTAACTGTAACCCGTGATATCTTCAACCTAAAACAGAAAAACATTACCTGGTCAAGAGATGGCTCAAGGGAATGTGGACTCCTCATTAAATCTGTATGATCTGCATCAAATGCTCCCATATCTCCAAAACCATCATCATGAGGGACAAGAGTGATATTACCATAGTCCTCACGCATAGTGATTTCCTCTGCTCTTGACTGATTGAGAGTAAACTGAGCTTCGATATCCACATCACTAAAATAATAAGTATACAATTCTGACATATTAGAATTCAGTTCAACAACATAAATCCAGTGAAAACAAATACCATTATTCACTTACTTCAGTTCAGGCATTGCTGAGTCAAAATCATGAAATACTTCTGGGAGTGTGATGGCAGTTACAGCCGCTTCTCGATGTTCTTCAGGTAGGTCCACCATCCCTGGCCGAAAAGCCATTTTAATTTTGACAAAGGCCTCATTACAATCAGCAAGAAGATACTTTGCTTTGCGTGAATAAATGCGAACCACTCCAAGGAGTAAATGACCCGATGTTCGGAGGGCCATTTTGACCTGCCACAAAAACAGACATGAGTAAATGCTGATATGACCAAAATAATCAAATTTAAGTATTTGACATTATTCCCTTGTTTCCAAACCTTTGGTTTAAGGATGCCATCAACAGAAGTTTCAATATTGGTTTCAAAAACATGCGCTTTGGTCAATTTTTTGTCCCAGTGAGCCGCTAACCAAATACGGGCCAGGGGCCCCTTCTTGGCTAACACAAAATGTGCGTAAAACATGGTGCTCTTGATTCAATGAGCCTGTAAGGAAAGTAAGAAAATTTAGACCAATGAGGTACACCAGGAAAATAATAAAAACTAACATTATATTTAACAATGTAATAAATTGTAGTAAACATCAAAACAGAGAGTATTTACACCAACTGTATCATAAAAAGTTCTGCAGATTATATAGTAAGTGATCGTTATGAGGAGAGAGGGGAGGAAAAGCCGACGGTGAAGATTAGACACTAGACTTTACAACATGATATAAACCAAAATAAACCCAACTGTTGTCGTTTGGCGGTTTATTTGGTTAGAGCGAAGCCTGAGAAAGTAGGATCAAATTGGCGGCAAGGCTTTTAGTCTTCTATATTTCCCGGTCAGTCGACTATCAGTTCAGATTTTCTCATAACTTACTGGCAAATTAAAATCTTAATCCAATGGCTTCACGAGAAAAAGGTAAATAGATCTTGAAAAAGAACACGAAAACATTTCACAAATTTTCCTGGTGACAGGAGAGAGGCGACACAGGTCGACACAAATACACAACATCAAGATGGCGCCGACGGCAAAGCGGAGTGGGGCGTTCTATTAACGGCGTTGCCAGATCCGTTAACTGCAGACGAGAAAATTGCAGGTTCATCGAGACCATGTAGTCGAAATTGTCGATATTTTCTTTTTTCTTAAATTCCAAGTTTGATATTTTTCTGTTTTTGTATTGTTAGGAAAGTTGGCAGAACAGTTCGTACATCTAAACTCACGACCAACGCAAAGTTTATGTTGGTATTGCTCGCCTAAATTTTCTCGCACGGGATTGGCTGCAAGTCACGTGGCCACAACAACGAATTCTATTGGCTCTTCGTTTTGTAACGGCTGGTTTTGGCAGTGTTTAAATAATTTGAAGGAATCCACAGTTGGTCGGTGCCGAAGAAGGTCTGCGGGTCGGGTCTGCGGATGCGGATCTTCGGATTTCTTCTGTGATTGAAGCTGTTTTCCATCTGGAACTTGATGCGTTCCTTGTGACCAACCACTTTTATCTCACATTATCACATTGGGAGATCCTGAAGACCCATCATGATGGCTTCGTTCAATATCCATGCGGACCAGGAGAACCGGGTGCCTGAGTTCCGCAAGGGCAAGGAAGTTTCTGCCCCACTGCAACAAAAACGGACCGTTCTGGGAGTGATTAATGCCAATGGACCCCACGGCCGAGGCGCCAAACCCGCGGTGAGTTTGCGAGTATTTGTAAATCCTCTGCATGTTAGTTACCTGAGTCCCGCCCATTTCTCACCGATTAATTAATCCCTTTCGATTCTGTGAATCATCTGTGATTTCTTCAGAAATTTTTTGAGACCGTTATTTTACGTTCGTACGGCGCCTCGCACATTCCGCGGTCTGTTAATAATTTTTTTGGCGCGGCTCGTTGTTGAAGGCTTACGGCTGCCGATCCGCGGTCCGAGCTCTGGTATTGTTGTGCTTTTGTAATCTGAGTGAAAGGGAGTGAAAGTATCGCGACGCTGCATCCTTGCGTGTTTTCCTCTACTGCAGTCTGGAAACTTGGGTTGTTGAACTTTGGTTTTGGGTGCTGTGGCTGTCTACAGAAATGCCTATCCTGACAGAACACGATTGTCATCAGTATTATACCATGATTGAATTTTCTGAACCTTACGTTATATATTGCCTTTCAGGAAAAGAAAGGCTCCTTCAAGATCCATGAGGATGATGGAGAAACATTTCCCGTCCTTCAAGAGCTGAAAGTAAGCCAACCAGTGACAGCTCCTGTGGTTGAACCTAAGGTATAGGTTTTGAAGTCTTTTACGTTCTGCTTTGTCTCAGTTAAAATGCTTATGTTTCGCACACTAACAAGTTATTAAATTTTCAGGTTGCTTCTCAAAAGACGAAGGATGCATCTCCCCTGTCACCAAAACTTGCAGAGCAGTCCAGCCCTCCACCGGAGCCTGAAAATGACGTGTCTATGTCTGAAGTTTATCAGTCTCCCATGCAAGTCGATGTGTCCATTGATTCTTCTCCTAGAACTAGGAGCAAGGCAATTGCCGAGAGAATTCTTTTTGACATGGATGAGTACAGGGATGACATCTATGATTATCTTCTTGAAGCAGAGGTACGCATCAGTTCCATTCAAGATGATTTAGTGTATAAGTTTATTTGCTTATCTTTATTATTTTTATTTATTAGACCAAACACCGATCAAAACCGAATTATATGAGGAGGCAACCTGACATCACATATACCATGAGAACAATCTTAGTTGAGTGGATGGTAGAGGTAGCTGAAGAGTACCGTTTGCAGACTGAAACCTTGTACCTTGCGGTGTCTTATATAGACCGCTTCCTTAGTTTGATGTCTGTGGTTAGAGCCAAGCTCCAGCTTGTTGGTACTGCAGCTATGTTCATTGCAGCGTAAGTGAAAATTTGATTAGTTACATTATTTCTTTAACTACTTGTTTTCATGAGTGTTCTATTTCAGGAAATATGAAGAAATCTATCCACCTGATGTTGGAGAGTTTGTGTACATCACTGATGACACCTACACCAAGCGCCAAGTCCTACGTATGGAACACCTCATCTTGAAAGTTCTTGCCTTTGATATCTCCTCACCAACTCCTCTTGTGTTTATCACCAACTACTGTGTCTCATTTGACTTCTCTGAACGAGTTATGTTCCTTGCCATGGTAAGAATTTTTTATTGGGTTTGTGTTAAGTTCAAGTGGGCTGTTTTGTAAAAACATTTTGTCTGTTTCTTACAGTACCTATGCGAGCTGTCCCTTCTAGAAGGCGACCCTTATCTTCAGTTTTTGCCATCAGTTTTGGCGTCTTCTACTGTAGCGTATGCTCGACACAGTTTGGGAATGGAAGCGTGGCCTGCTGATGTTGCTGACAGCACTGGCTACCAGTTGTCAGCATTAATACCCTGCCTCACTCATTTGAACACAACACACTCTAGGGCTCCTCATATTCCTCAGCAGGCAGTCAGGGAGAAGTACAAGCACAACAGATGGCATGGAGTATCTTTAGTCAGTCACCGCCCCATGGTCTTCAAGGATGATGTATTGGTAGTGGATTAACTTTCAATATTGTTAATGTTAACTGCTATCACTGCCAAAAAGTTACAGGTTTGTTGGAGTCAAAGTATTTTTGTGTTATCTTGGTTATTCTCAATTTTGAGATGCTCCAATTTATTTTTCTAAAGGGCTGGAGCCCTTAACTAATCTTTGAGATTACCTAGTTGTACATTGTTGATGTAATTGACTGTTTCCTTAGGTCTTAGGTTAATCCCATGCATTCTCTTTCAGAGGAATGTAGGTGTTTTCACATTTTGTACAATCTGTATTATAGTGTTTTGTATTAGTTTTAATGTTAAATTATTTCAGTCCATTATGAATGACATTACTGACTATTATAAACTCTCATTTTAATCTGTGATAAAACAGTTAAACACTGTTAATCCAATGAAATCACGTTTCGCCTTATCTCAGAATTTGAATCACCATGTTTCTATATGTGTAATAGCGGTAATTTTTGCTAATTTATTCTTAAGCCTGAACTGAATTATTTCTTCATCCAGTCCCTCCTGTAGTCAGGAGGGAGCAGAAGTAACAGTTTTGATTTATCTTGTTTTCATCTATCAGAAACTTTGATCTTCCTGACATGGGAGTGTTGAGCTCTAGATTAATTTCTAAACTGGTATGGTTTGTAGGAATTCATAATGTTCTTCGTGTGCATTTTATTTGAGTGATTAATTTATGTGCAGCTTAGACTTTGTAAAGTGGTTACCTGTTGCACTCTGTGTTTTTAAAAGTTGAACTCATTTCATGTAATCTTTTAGTTGCTGAACTCTCAGTTTTCTTTCTTAATGAAGCCTTATGTAAATATTTTGTTTTGGCAAATTGAGTTATTTCTTTTCAATTCGTTGTGTATTGTGAAGGAATATGTAACATCACTTAATCTTTGTTCAATTCATTACAGGCTGTGCATGCTTTGTAAGAGCTGATAAGTTTCAATAAATTGACTGTAACCATTGACTGTACATAATTGTTGTGAAATCCCCATTATTTATACCACAAATCTTCTACTCTCAACATTGCTTAACATCCCAACATTTTGACATTTCATTACCATTTACCCCCTTAATAAATTCTTGAAAAAAGTACGAATGCTAAGTGCATTCGCCTAGGCCGCGAAAGGAGACAAAGTGCATCCTGCAGATACAGGATCATTGCGTTTGCACTCGCTGCAGTCCTTCGGATGCAACCTCACGGATCTCTCATGTGAGAGTGACGAGGACAGATGCACCTAGCGGATGCGGCCCCCAGGGCGGGGGTGGCCGCAAAGAACGATGTGAGTGCGGTCTCTTCGTCCTACGTCTTTCTTTTACGTTCAAATTTTAGTTTTTCATTATGAAACATCTGTTTTGCTCTCTCAAACGTGCATGAAAGTGGTAAGACATTGCTTTACTCTAGTATGAATATATGTCAAGTTTGGATCCGTCTGCCTGTTTTGTCTGAGGTTAGGATTCTGAATTCTCTCGAGCTAACTTAAAAGCTTCTGTCTTTTCATTTCTCGTCGTAGAAGTGTTCTGTTAGGTTTTCACGATTTCTTCAATTTTTTTTCTCTTTCTTTTTAAATGTTTCTTTGTAGTGTTTTACGTTTTTTCAAAAATAATACAATTTGGTTACGTCTGTTGCAGGAAAAGTGGAGACCTTCATATGGGAAAAAACATATTGTGGTTTCTCATTGTAGTAACAGTTGTAACTTTATTTGCAATGGCTTGGAGATCACATGGAAAAACTAATATCGAACTTATCAGAAATTTGCGTGGTAAGCTTGGGGCTCATCATTATTGTTTGTAGTTTTTTTTAGGGATTTGTGTTTTTGTTATTACTTTTCCTTGCATCGTTAATCCTTTGTAGCAAATAATATAATTAAAAGTGATGCTGTGGAAAGAGCTATGTTAGCTGTGGATAGAGGAAGATATGCGAAAACCAACCCTTATATGGATGCGCCCCAGGGAATTGGATATGGAGTCACTATCAGTGCACCTCATATGGTGAGTTTTCTAGTTAAATACTTATTACCTGACCCCTGTAATGTCGGTTTTCAATTGCTACTTCAGATTTATGATGTTCCAATGTTTTTGACTGCAGAGGAGTATGGTCTCTTTGTTTTATTTAAATGAACACTGTGTAATGGAACAGCAAAGCCCACTCTAAAAAAAATTATGGGAAAACAATGGAGTGTAAAAAACCTGAGAAAGTAACTTAGTTTTTCTTTCAAAATGGCATCTCTCCATCCCTCAGTTCTGATACATTTCTAAGGTTAATCGAAGTGTCAGCTACACTCAGCTTGCTGAGTCTCGGAACAGACAGCAGAGAAAGTGGAAACACCTAGGATTACCAATTCAGCCTGGTCAATCCTTGGTTTAGCTGCCCACTTACCTCTAACCGCAATACCTGAAAATTTCACAGCATCATCATAATTTGTCTTTATTGTAACTTTTTTTTTTACCTGTCTGTTGCACAGCATGCCTATGCTCTTGAACAACTGAGAGATCATCTAAGTGAAGGCAGCAAGGCCCTGGATGTCGGTTCTGGCTCGGGATATCTAACGGTGTGCATGGCACTGATGGTAGGAGAGTCAGGGCATGTTGTAGGTATAGATCACATCCCTGAGTTGGTAGAATTTTCTCGCCAAAATGTTCTCTCCGACAAACCTGATCTGTTAGAAAGTGGTCGTCTACAGCTCATTGGTAAACTCCTAACTGTCTGCCTGTATCGTTTAATACTTAAGCTGCAATAACATAGTTGTTACATGACTATTCTTCTGTTCTCATTAGCTGGTGATGGAAGACAAGGGTTTCCCTCTAGTGCCCCTTATGATGCCATACATGTAGGTGCTGCAGCTCCTACTGTTCCACAAGCTGTAAGTTTTATCTGTTTTTTTATTTCCTTGTACCAAATAGTTATTAATTAAATTTTTGTCTTTTTTTCCTTCTGTATAGCTGATTCAGCAATTAAAACCCGGTGGACGATTGGTTGTGCCTGTTGGACCAGAAGGAGGAAGTCAGACTCTGGAGCAAATTGACAAGTCCGCAGATGGGTTGATAACTCAGAAGACACTAATGGGAGTAGTGTATGTCCCACTTACTGATAGAAATCACCAATGCCCCCCTAACTCTCACCGATGATTCTGGTTTTTTTAAACAAACGAAAAGAAAATTTAAAAAAAAACTGGTTCCATTACTTAATTGCCATTTTTCATTCTTAAGTCTTTGGGTCAATATTGAAATGGTAACAGCTGTACTCTTCTTCATTCTGTAAACCATCATTTTTGGTGTTCTGTCTGCAAATTTTTGTGTCTATTCTGTGCAGTCCATGTATTTAATTTTTTTAATGTTTTATCTTATCTTCCATTTTTATGTTAATCTAAATTCTTATAGAAAATGACAAATTGTACTATTCTTAGGTATCTGTTTTGTCCTACCCAGGAGAGGGCATCTTAAGCAATTTTTGAAACCTATTTTAAATGACATTAGATGTCAAGATTTATGGAAGGTGGTTTAATTAATTCATACTAGACAATGACAACTTCATAGTTTTTCTGTTTAGTGTATAGAATTCTGTTAATTCCAATGTTAGGCTCACTAGTCTTAATTTTGTTTAAGGGCATGAACTATTTTTTGTCTTCTTGTTATGTGAAGAGAGTTTAGTGCCCAAACTTCTTATCTCTTTAAAAAATCTCAAGATTTAATTGAGTAGCCATTATCCACTCCCTTTTACAACTTGGGTGTATCATTTTGATTAGAAAAGCTTGTCTTGGAGTCAATGTCACTCAGCTAAATAACAGCAGTTGTTTAAAGCTGCGGATTCATATCTCATAGACATTGTGTGCCTTTGCTGGGTGTGCTTATTGTGTTCTTATGAATACAATTTTCCTTGACTTTCAGTTTGTCTCATAAGAAACCTTGTCACACTTGTGACAAGTTAGCTTATGAGGAGGCTACCGAAGTCCTGGAAAAAGTGCAAGCATGCTTGCAGGGTTTTCTTTTGTTTATGTTTATAAGGTGTGAGCCCTTGGTTCCTAATCATATTGGTGTTGTGTAGATGGGTGAGGTATGCTTCTTGTCAGAAGTCAATAATTTCCTATCTAAAAAGTTAAAATAAAAAAAGTTCTAGTTAAAGAGTTAAGATGTTCTTTCTTCTGATTAGCAGTGTGTTTGTGTGCCCTACAGTTTCACAAGTGGCCGGCAGTGGCTTACTCATATTTATTGTGCTTTGTCAATGGTTCAAACCCAGAGGACATGTGTGATGCAATTATTTACTTACTGTACAGTATGTAGAATTTTTTTGTTTAAGAAGAAAATGTTTGAAATCAGGTTTCTAATGTCTTTGCTTCCCTTGTGGGTTTGTGCCATTGTATGTCTGTGATTTTGTATGCATTATTTTGCTTGTATGGCTAACTTTGCCTGTACCATATTGATGAGGATTGTGAGAGTGACCTGGAACAATTATTTTGTTGATGTGGTTTGGTTTTGGTCTATATCCCATCATTTAAACTTTTAGATCAATGCACATTCTTCCAGAGCATGCCAAACAGAATGTAATTTGAATTCAGCTCTGGTTGTGTAGGTTACACCTTGTGTCTGTGATGTCTGCGAGACATATGCACCATGCTTAGAACTGTAGTCAAGTCTTAAATTGATATAACAGCCCACCCCAACATTTCCAAGTTGGGCCAAATTTATGTGCTGTATTTGAGATTATTTTGTAATTGTGTGAGTGATCAGTCAACCTGCTGTAATTTTATTTGTTATGATCCAAAACTGTGGTAATGTTGACTTATTTGACCTTGAACTAGATATGAAAATTGCAAGTTGTAAGTACTTTATTGTAAACAAGAGCTCATACTTTGAGTGTCTTTTGTGGCAAATTCTCTGGTCTTTGCTTCCTAATCCCTCTTGTTCTCTAAAAACATATTGTACAGAAATATATCAACTTTAAAAAACATCTATATGAGTTTTGGTCAAAGGCTCACTTCTTTCATGTAACTTCTCTGTTAACTACTAAAAATAAATTTTAAAATTATATTAACAGCATAGTACTTTTCACAATGTTCCTTTTTGAATAGTTAGTAAATAAGGGTGATCTTGTAGGAAAAGTACACTAATATCACAGTAAAAACAATGTCTCATTTTTTGAGGAAGAAGGGAAAACTTTGAGGAACTCCCATGATTGAGGAAGAGTCCTCTGATCTCGCCTCGGATTTTGAGAAATCTTCTGAAAAAATGAGGAAGAATCCCACATTTGGGAGGAGACATCCTCAAAATCTGTGGAGTTTTTGTCAAACCAGAGGAGTTCCTCAAAGTTTTCCCTTTACCCTAAAAAAATGAGACATTGTTTTTACCGTGATCAAGGCTCTGCATTAGCTTGGCAGTAATTTTTTCAGCTACCAATTATTACATAAAACTCAAATTGGATCATTATTAGTATGAACATAAGAAACTCAAGCAGTAAACACTTATTTCAATATCTGAAAAGTTAAAATTGCTTGCATACCATAAATATATAAATATTTTTATGTATTAAACATGGCTCTAGTTCAGCTGTTGTGAATAAGTTATAAAATATTTTCTTTACAGGGTAAAAATAGAAAAAAGAACCTAAGCTGGTTACCTTCAGGGAAATGAGAAAGTCTTACATCCTGACAAGTCACTTCCATGGTGGTTTCAATTGCAAGGTGTTGCTTACATTAGGCTGCAAAAGAAGAAAATAAACCGGTGAGAGAAAATATCACAGATTAATTTTTTGTTGCACTAATGTGAAATTTACCTTCAGTCCTTGTTGAGGTTCCTCAGGTGTGGAAGTAACAGGGTTTCCTGGGGCTCGGTCTAATAGCTAGCATGGAAAGGCACACAAAAATGAAAAGTATATGTGACAAGAAGCAAATGTCTCTAGATAGAGACAACAAGACTCACCATTTTTATATATCTCCGTAGTTCTTCACTCTCCTCAGCCTGGCCAGGCTGCTGCTGCTGCACTGGGGTTGCATTGCGGTGTGTAATTTGTCCATCTCGGCTGAAAGGTGTCTCATCAACCGATGAACGGCTGCTACACTGACTTTGAGAATTTTTTTGTTGCTGCTGTTGCTGAACCAGCATCCACGCTGTATCCTTTACTTTCTCATTCCACGCCTGACTGCTTTTGTCAGCTTTAATGGCAGAGGCATCAGGCTGTCCATTCTACAAAAGTAATAAAAAACAGTGAAATTATGAATGCTAAGAGCTAGGTAGCCGTTAGAATAATTATCTCTATACTCACACTGTCATTAGGACTGCTGCTTAAAATATTTAAAGCTTCCCGCCACTGATTTTCCATAACTCCATGCAAACGCTCTGCTAATGATGAGCTGCGCTTCTCATAAGCTGCAAGACGTTTCTCTTGATCTTGAATCTGACGAGATGCTTTAGCAAGTTGAAGTTGCATGAGTCTCAGCTCTTCTGAATGTTTTTGTTCAAGAAGTGATACTTCAACTTTGTGTCTGTTAGGAAAGACAATTTTTACAATATTTGACCAAAAGGCACACACAGGTGAAGAGGGTGGTGGTATTTGACAACAGTTGGTAACGATGTAAACTATACTTTTCAGTAACATGCTGAAGTTGTCGTGCAGCAAGTTGAGCCACACTTCGCTCTCGAGATTCTAGTTCCCTCTGAAGAGTTGCCTCAGCTGTATCTAACTGACCTTGAAATTCCTTAAGTTTATCCCTCACAACACGCTCTAGTTGAGCTTGGTAAAATTCATGCAGCTCTGTTTTCATCATTTCTATTTGTTCTGAGGTCTTTTTTAGTTCAGATTGTAAGTTTCTCTGGAAATGGAAGGGGTAAATTATTCGTCATCCTTAATGATGAGGTCAAGTGAGAAAACAGGGAAGAGGGTTACACACCTCACGTTTCTTAACTTCTTCCAGCTCTGAACGCATTTTGTCACGAGTGTTTTGTTGTGTATCTAATCGAGCTTTTTCCTCTTTTAGTCTGGTTTGTAAGGCTGATTTCTCCTCCTCTAAAATAGCAATGTCAGCCTCATGTGATGAGAGTGATTTAGTTGCCGCATCCATAGCTGATTGCAGCTCAACAAGTTTGGTGTGATCCTTCATAATAAGAAAAAAATTGAAAAAAAAGAAATTAGAAAAGTTTTGAGGCCAAATCGCATTTAGTAATACAAAATGCTGTTCTTAAAAACCAGGTCGAGATCAATTATACAATAATTAGTTTTTGAAAAATATATTAGTTACAGTTAGTAAGTCAGTGAAACATTCACCTCATTATACTTAGCCCGAAGAGCCTCTTCTCTTTGCTGCACTTCAGTGCAAGTTATGGTAGCTGTGGCAAGCCGGCGTTCAAGTTCTTGGGCCTTGCTGGCTAACTGTTCCATTTGTGAGGAATGGAAACGTTCCGCATTTACACTTTGTTCCTTGTAGCCATGTGCTAGATCAAGGGCTTTAGATAGCTCAGTCTCATAACGCTCGATTTTCTGTTAGTATGATAAGCATAGCCAAGCAAATTTCAAACTAATTAGGCAAAGCAAAAGCAGCATCTTGTTTTCCAAGTAAGGGTCAAAGTTTTCATGCTACATCCACACAATGGTCACAGTTTCTCAGCATACCTCTTTCATTTGTTTCAGCTGATTTTCACTGCCCAATTTCTGATCCTGCAATTGCTTGGTCAACAAATGACGTTGATCTTCAACAGTTCGCCAATGATTTGCAAGACTGTTCCATGCGCTTTGTAGTTTTGCTATTGCAGCATCTTTATCAGAATCTACCTGAAGTGCTACTGCCAGTTTTTGTTGGGACTCCAAAAGTTTTGTTTGCAGAGCTTGAACTAGGTGCTCACAATGCTAGAAAAAAAAGGGGGGGGGGATAAAGACTTACTAACTCTCGAAAATTCACGAATACAAGAATATTAGAGGAACAGTGAGAGAAAAGGACAAACCTGGCGACGGCAACGCTCTTCCTCATATTTTTGTAGCAATTTGGTATCACCAACACTTTTGATTACTGGTTTTTCTCCATCACTCCACAGCTCAGCCAAACTCAACAAGGGTTTTGGAGGTCTGTGGAAATGTAAAAGGAGCAATGATGATTACTATTACATGAACCAAAGACTTATTTACAATATCAGTTCTGTCAAACTCCACTTCAATGGCAATATTTTCAGCATACACCTTACTTACCCTGAATCTTCCTTATGCTCAACTGTAACATGAAAAATATGATTATTAAATTAGACACAAAAAATGGGTGTGCCTTACACAGGCATTAAATGTGAACTTCAGCTTACCAATGGCAGGTGGGACAATATCTCTCTTGTTCCTGACGCCACCAGTTTGATCTGCACCAGATGAGAAAGAATCTAGTGATGTTGCAGTTTCACGTTCTCCTAGGTCATCTATAGAAGTTTTTTGCCTTGCAGGAAAATCAAGATCTAATTTTCTTCGTGAAGCAAAAACTTTGGGTGATTGCTTAGGTAGGGGGCTTCCTTCAGACTGATGAGCTACTTCAAATTGAACTGCAGCCTCCCTGACTGGCTCTCGATCAGAAGGCCTTGGTTCTTTCAATGTGCTCCCTCCAGAAGACCATGCTTCTCTTACACCATAGCCCAAGTCAGGGATGGATTCTATATTATCACCAAGTCTATACTGCTTTCTGGTAGTGACTACAGGCTCATAAACTGGCTGTTTGTAGCTTTCATTTTTCTGGTTTCTATCTTTTCTTTCAGTTTCCAGAAATTTATCAACGTCCTTCCACTGATCTCTTACTCCAAAACCAAGATCGGGTATGGAGCCAATGTCATCTCCTGGCTTCTTGACGATTCTACGCACTTCTGGAGCATCATGAGTACTGAGTCTTGCCTCAATATTTTTCTGTTCTGCTTCTACCTCTTTCAGTAAGCGATCAACTTCATCAAGTTGAAGCCGAGCCACACCATCAGCTGTATCTCTTTTATTTGGAGAGGGAGGTAACCCCCCTGCAACAAGCTCCTTTTCTTTATACCCTCGTGATGCAATAGCATCTCTCTTAAGGCCATCTAAGAACAGATCAACCTCAGACAGAAGTTCTTTCTCTTTGAGTTTTTCTCTCCCAATATTTTCTAAGCTTGAATCTGATAAATTTCTATTGCTTCTAGAGGTTACCTTGGAAGGACTGATATGATTTCGTCCCCAGGTTCTTGAGGGGGATGCAGACTGTGCTAAGGAGCGATAACTACTACTACTGGGTGTTGGAGGCAAAGAGTTGAAACGTGCCACTCTTCTGGATGGACTAGTATTTAAACTAGAGTTCGATCCCAGATACCTCGAAGAAGGATTCATTTCAGTATTCATGAAGTTTGAGCTACAAGACGAGTTGAGAGAACTTGCAGAATCATTCAACTTCAGTGAAGATGGGTCCTTCCTTTCAATTTGGGCAACTCGGTTCTCAAGTTCGTTCACATGAGATATTAGATCATTGACCACAGTGCGCTCAACCACACTATCAATATTACTGACTGATTCGTCATCTGAGGAATTGACGAGAAAGAAGTCGGGAGGTATCAAGAGGAGGATTTCAGTATCATCACTGTCACTCATCACTGCATCTGAAATATATGTGTTATAATTAGGTTAATTAAAAGACATTGATCAGGAAAAATAATGAACCAAGCAAAGGTGTTCAGACAATTTTGAGGGGTGAACATACAACAGGAAGAGACGGCATTAGCTAGATGATAGAAACAAACTGAACCACTTGGAATTTCATGCACTTACCACAGTTTTCAGCGGTCTCGAGACGCCATTATCAAAAGTTTAAAACTTGCCGTGACAGCGACATTTCTAATTAAATGGTTTCGGAGTTAAAGGAAAGCGAATTTGTGGCAGGTGTTTCTGGTCATGCCAATGTCAAACGCCCCCACATGAATGAGAGAGAGAGAGAAGAGTCATGTTGGCGCACTAAGGCTGTCCTTCTACGGCAGCATGTACCAAAGCAAGTATTCCAAAATGACAACGTTCTGTAAAATAATGGCTTATTTCATTTCATTTCACGCAAGTAACCAAAGTGACATGTAAACAGTCGGTATCGGTTTCCGGAGAAATAAACAAACAGTTACAAAAATAGTAAACAACTCTGACGGAATGATGCAACATCAACATAACTGTTTGATACTTAAAAGCTCAGGTCGCTTGATTAATATTGGATGTTTTTGAGGAGAAATGCAACACATTCTTGAATTCAAGTGATTTATTTAGGAAACAAGCTACAACTAGTGCGAGAAACTGGTAAACTCACACCATGTTTTTCACGTGGTGAGGTTGGCAATAGAATGTTTCGATTGCTATCGAGACGTTGACAAGAGCGCAGATTTCAAAAGCAGTCGCGTATTCTACCTCGCAATGCAATAAGACTCTACAACCACAGTTGTTTTTACCTTACATCCCCCGTATATCATGGTTTACATACTCATTACTTACTCCAACTGACTGCCTCTGGCCTCTGGCCCCCTTTTTTCAGCATTCCAAATCATTTTTTGTTAAAAAAAAAGTCAAGTTATAAACACGTAAAAAAAAAAAGGCAAGTTATAAACATTTTTACAAACTGTTTTTAGAACATTAAAGACATTTCAGGTCCTTAAAATTAAAATCGAATTTTGTATTATGTCCCCCCCCCCCCTTCTTTCTTTTCCCCCGTAACAGTGTGGGTGTTTTCGCACGCATACGAACAACGGCGCAGTATGCGTAGCGGGTCGTGAGGCGGGGGTGGGAGCTGCCCCCCCCCCCCCCCTGTGCCGGGGACCCGTTGCAAACGACGTCGCGGTGGCGTTTAGCGACCCGCCGGCGCCGGCTCATGCACAACGACCGTCGTTCATTTCCCGCGGCGACTGACTGGGCGCGTAAGTGGAGTAGTACCACCGGCACCGTGAGGCCGCAGTGTGCCGACAGAAAATGAAAATGACTTTCACTGTGTTAACGTCAGCTCGGTGTCGCTTGGGCGGGGCGGCGGGGCGGGGCCCCCACCTGCACCTGCAGCGGTCCCACGGCGCCGCGGGGCGGGCGCGGGGACTCCGCCGCCGGCTCCGAGCAGAACCCTACGCCCCGCGCCTCGCACGCGATGGGGTAACGAAGTCTCGCAATCCATTTTCTGAATGTGGGTGGGTTTGTCTGGGCTCCTGCTCCCACCCGCGCCGCCGCCAGGCTAGCCGCCAGGCCCTCTGGGGCGCGCGCGGGGTCCCCTTCCTCTCCCCCCATGGCCTATGGTAACGTGCAGCGCGGGTGGCGGCGGCGGGGAGTGGGGTGCGTAGCGCGGCGCCCCGGCGGCCGGCGGCGCTCTGGAGGAGTGGTTCAAGGGCGGCGCTGGCGGCGCCCTGCTCCCGGAGGAGGACAAGGAGGGGGGTAGTTCCGACGGGGACCCCCGGCGCCCGGCCGCGGCGGCCTGAGAGTCTATATAGGGGGCCGGCGGGCCGCGCCGAGGGCTAGTCCTCCAGGAGAACACGGCCGTCAAGATGCGGACCGGAGCGCACAAGGTAGTGACCCACCGCGGTGAAGCAGTTGTAGTGAGTGACGAGTAGTAACAGTGTGTCAGTGCAGTGATAGTGTGTGATAGTGACGACCGCGTCGTGGAAGATGCCGCCCGGCCCGTGCCGCCCATCATTGGCCGCGCCATGCCTCCGGCCTGTTGCACGTTAGCGTGTTGGCCCGTGCGAAGGCCCACCTAAACTTGTTGGATCTGCGCGCGGAGGGTGGTGGATCTGCGGAGGGTGGTGGATCTGAGGGGGGGATGGTGATTTTGCGGGGTGATGGTTGATCCGCGGGTGACTGCGGTGGATCTGCGTGCACGCGTTATGGATCTGCGTGTGTCCATCACACCCCGCCCCGCCCCACGCGCCACCCACGCCGTGGACGGACACTCGCATCGACCGGTGGTGCGATCAGGGTTGATAACTCCGATGGTAACACGTAAAAAACGGTGGTGGTGTGCACGACGACGACCATGTGGGCCGTTGTGGGGGGGGGGGTCTCGTGTAAGGCTAGGGGTAGATAGAAAGAAAATAAAAACAGAACCGTGCCCGTGTATCCACTCTATTAGCACATGAGTGAGGTTTGAGTCCTGTCGCGGGATGACATCGGATCGGTTGATCTAAAAAGCCGTGCACTTTGCGACGGCATTGACGCCGCTCTGGCATCGACACGACCTTATCTACGGGGTTGGAAGGGTGCGGGAGCCACACGCACGCTCTCCTGGTCTGGTGGTGGGGGGATAGAGTGCTCCACGAAATCGCGAAAGGGAAGGAAAAAAAATCGCCAAGAATTTCTGAGTCGAATTCTCAGTACTCATTACTTCCGTTTTGAGGAGGGCGATTGAATAATGTTCTCAGAATGCTTCCACCCCCACCCCCTCACCGTATTTTCATCGATTTAGAACGCGGTATAGAAGGCGCAGTCCGCCGCGAGCTCACAGGCGTGAGCACTCCAGTTTCGGAAGGACCCCTTCCCATCATATCTCGCGATCGGTTTCGGAGCAGACTGTCGGCGGTCAGAGTGTCCGTCCGTCCGTGCCGCTGAATTAGTGATTGCGCAGGTCGGAGCAGCCTATCGCCCCGTGTGCCTGTCCGGCCAGGGGCGGCCGCGGACTCGTGGCAGGCTGTCGGGTCCGGGGTTGGGTCCGGGCCAGCAGCAGGGTCGGCTCGCCCGCACCGCCGCCGCAGTCTGACAGGTGTGCCTGGCCACTCGGCACTCCTACTCCTGCACGAGTGCGCGGGGCCGGGGTGGGCTATGCGAGTGCCCGTCCTGATTCTGCTCGTCCGGGCCCCCGTCCCGCGCAGGCGGGTGCTAATCCGTCTCGTGTCTCATTCCGAAAGGGGTAGGCCATCAGTAGAGCCGAGCCAGGCTGACGGCTGATATGTGCAGTGCAGCAGCGGCCGGGCTGTCCACTTCCAGCAGCGGTAGCACTCCTATCTCTGCGTGGAGGCGAGGACGACCGCTAGCTACCCCCCGGCGGCGGCCCCATTCCGTCACTCCCCTTGCTTGTCAGTACATGGGAGGCGCGCGTGTCTGACCAACGACCAACGCGAAGTCGTCTCGAGATAGCTCCACTGCTGGTTGGTTTTGATTTTCACCAAACGCGGTACCTGCTTCTTAAAACTCTAAACTTAGACGTGAGATTATTTGCAAAACATTGTTAACAGTGTGATGTGGTGGGAACACCGGATGTAACGTGGATTACGGATTACTTATGTTGGCCAGCCATTTACTGCCGGCTGACTGTTTTGGGCTGTCGGGAGTATGGGGATGGTTGCGTGACTTTGCCCCCATGCTCCGCTCAGCCCATCCCGCCCTGCCCC